ACAAAAAGGAAGACTATTTAGCAATGTGCTCCTTTGCAGGCAGTAGGTCACTTGTTTTTGGAATAATTTCTCATCGTTTAAAGGGTCATCCTCATTGTCAAGAGATGTGATGATCAGATATGAGTCTATATCAGAACTGCATGTGTTAAAGGAGAAAGTGTAAAGACACAGTGGGCAATTATTGGTCAGCCTGATTAGCAAGAATAACTCATCGACCTGGGAATTCCCATGACACCTCTGGCAGCAATGGGAAAACAGTTCAAATGTTCTCTATAACCTGCATTCAGTCATGTTACATTTTTAATTGTAGGATTTTATCAACAAGTATGATTATATAGTATTTGTTGACTTACATGTAGTTAATATACTAGGGTTGTACACAAAATGTATTTAGGAATTAGGAGATTAAAGTTTCAGATGTTGAATTTGGCTATTGCTTATGAGCTGAAAATTAATCTTACTGGGGTCACAATACAATTAGTGTTATTGCAATATAGCTAGTGCATGTGTATTATGAAATACAACTAAGAGAAGGTAATGGCTACTTTTGGTTACACAAAATTATTCCCATTTCTTTAAAAGCCTCTTAACTGCTTTTTGAAATTTGTTCCACGTATACTGTAATCTCTCATCTCTAGCATCAATAAAACATATGATTGAATTTGGTTTACCCTAGTATTCCCTCTGGAGATTTAAAATACATCAGTTATTATCCATACCATTCTTTGATAATGAGGATTATCTATAGAACAATCCTTGTCCCACTTTACTGGGGCATTTGTCTTGAGAAAACTATGAACCTAAAGATTTATTCAAGTGTGCAAGGACCAGGATCAAAAAGGAGAGAAATCTGGATGCAAGGCTATGAGTTGTACTGTAGTTTCAGGAAGCCACCAGTTAAGACTCCCTTGGGAATTATATAATATGCAGTGAGTGCTCTTAGTGCTTGCAGAGTTTTTTCTTATTTAAGCCATTAAAATATAATGGGTGTAGTTTGCAATGCACCCATTTTTGAGATCCTGCCCAACTGCCCTCCACATGCTTAAATTCAGTGTTTAAATTCTCCTAACTCTTGCTCAGAAAAAAAAAAAGGTAAGAGCAATAGGCACCAAACTTTTCTTAAGCATGACCGTAAACTAATCCTAAACACCTTAACAAGTCATTCACAGCATGACCACAAGTAGGAAAGTGTTTAGCATGTGGGGATAGACTACGTCTACGTTAGCAACCAGACCAGGCCAGGACCCACAATGTGCCCCTGGGCAGATGGCATGGCACAACGCTCAGCTAAACCCACTTCCCTCCAGAAGTGGAAAGCTTCATCCGTCTGCTCTGTGAGAAACAGCCCCTGGTCAGGGGCACTGTCTGGGAGGACGTTGTGTGGCACAGGTCAAGACAGTGCCAAGAGTGTGCTACCAGATTAGCAGAAATTGGCAGTGCTGGTCCCCTCTGCCTTGGCTTTCTCTAATTTATTGGTATAGATGTGTTCATTAGCTTATTAAAGCATACTGCCCAGCCAGAATGAGCACTTTGCTACAAATCCTGTTATGCCTCTTGTTCCTTGTCTATCTAAGGAGATTTTTCTCTGGTTTTCCCCTATCTCATTATTTTAGGGTAGGACTCCCTCAATTTCTCCTATTAAAGGAGTTCTGTCTTGCCTGGAATAATCAGATATTAATTGAGTGGAATAAAAGAGGAGAGCCGAGGAATGCGCTTATGTGGTCTAATGTTAAAATCCATTAGCTGGGAATAGAAAGGCTAAATCCCAGCCTTGTTCCAGTGACTTGGAGCAGGGTCAGTGCATGCATAAACCAATATGATTAAAATGGTATATATTGCATTTCCAGTTGTATCAGTAGGAACACCGTGCCTGAAAATTGCATTAGAGATGACAGATGAGGAAGTCAGTCTGCACCAGGTGCATTTATTATCTATGCCTGTTTACACTGGTTAGGTGATAGAAAACAGAATTTGGTCCAAGGTATGTAAACGATCTTTAGTGTGTATATATTCATCCTAAATTCAAACAGTTAAAGCAGCTCCTATATCTTATAACTATTTGCTTTTGTCATGTCACATGTCTCTGTGAATTAATCTGCATTTTGTAAAAATCCCATTAATAAAAACCTGTCAATTTTCTGGCAATATACAGATGTACAAATTATATTAAGCAATTCATGCTGTTTGACATAGGTCTTTCCTGTTCTTACTATGAGAAATGTGAAAAATCTTTCTTTTACAAGATTGCTTGTGAAATAGATTCAACAAATTAGCAAATCAAGAAAATAAATGTACTCCTAAAAGAGATCAAGCTAGATCTGGTACCAATCATGTCACTCTTCTCCAGTTCTTTCAAATCCTTTTTTTTTTTCTCAGTGATTTATAATCAGTGAAAACTTCTGTGACTACAAAGATGCTGAGGAGGAAAGAGCAGAAGTGCCACTGTTGAGGCCCAGCAATTTATTTTCAAAGATGAAATTCCTTTGTACCAAGGAATTCAGTAGATAGCATTACCTCTAAACATACAGTAACTTTGTCACATTAAAGTATTTTTTTTGTGATCATGTGTAAATAATTAACAATTAATGTATAAATTAACAGTATTTCTGACTTTCTTAGCGTATTGTTCGCAGTCTTGCACAATAGTTCAAATACCCTTACAGCACTTTCTAATTAGTATTTTAAAATTACCCACATTATAAAACCTCGCAGTTTAGAACTGAACCTGTGAAAGGTCTTGGGGCACCCACTTTACTTTAAAGTACGTATACCTAAAATGTAAGTCTTCAGGATCTTCAATGAGTTAATAATTCTTTTAATCAATAGATATTCTATAGCTATATAAAAATATTTGCTTCCAGGATGCTAGACCTATTAAAATACTGACAGCACTGAAAAAAAAAAAGATTGCTTAACCTTGTCAGAGCAGATATTTTAATTGCATGCTTTTTAGAGTGAGGTCCAACAATAACCAGGGTTAGGAGAAGAAAAGGTGGTAGTACAGTTTTTCTCCAGCAGTCCTACCCCGTGCATTGACTGTAGAAGCTGAAGATTTGGGTTCCCTTCCTGTGGAGGAAATAAAGACTCCAAATAGTACCTTCCTTTTCTATACAGTGTAAACAAAAGATACCAAGAATCATTCCTAAATCCCTTCCAGCAAAAACATGGTACCCTCAGTGTGCCTGAATTGCCCAAACTATATCATGTCAGACAGCAGAGGCTTTGATTTGTTTTCCACACTCATGCTGAGCTTTGCAATTATGGTGTTGGATGGATGAATGGGAAGAATGAGGAACTGGCCCCTACAGCACCAGTAATGTTGATAACAGCCGGTATACTGAGGCCTTTCATTTGTTTGAATAAACAAGGATTACCTACACTATATAAATGGGCAGTTTCATTACTGCTGCTGGGCAGAGACAGAAACGATAAAACACCTTAACCAAAATCTTCTAGGAAAGTATTTACAGGCATCCATCCTTGCCTCACTTACCCAGAACTGCTTCTTTTGCTGTAAAAAAGCCCCAACAGACTGTTTAATACCTTTTCACGGAATGAAGATAGTTTCTGAGTTCACTTTTTGCAATACTCTTCTTAGAAATAGTCGGGCTTTAGAGAAGAGCCAAACTGAGATCTGTAAGGCTGTGCCTGGGTGCACAAGTCCAACAGAATGTAATGTACTGCAAAGTTCAACCCTCTATCCTGACCATTTTCAAGTAGAATCAATATTGGGGTTTATGCCTTAAAAGTGTTGCCCTACTTTAGGACGTTATGACTTTGATAACCCTTTCCATGCTTGGTGGGCAATTAAAAGCAATACTTTGCATCTGATGAGTGAATCAGTAAGGAATTTGTATAAAAACTTACAGTATGCATCTCTAGCATCAGCTACCGTGCAGATTTTAGGAAACACCTGAATGTATTTCTTAGCAGTATCAATCATCTGTCACCTAATGCCATTTTAACATAAGATCTAACAAAAAAAAAAAATCCTATTTCTTTGAAGAATTACTGCCTGTAATATATTTAACATTTATGGTAGTCAGCATGGTAATACAGGTTCTTCCTGGGAAGAAGCAGCTCGGTACATCTCAGTCCCATGGATAGTCTGTGAATTACCTTTATTAAAAATTGCTGAAAAGGAGTCTTAACTGCTTTGACCATTCTCTGTAATTTTAATTCTGAACATAGATTTAGATGATGACTCTATCAGATAGACATTCAGATTTATGTAATGTGAATTTTTAATTGATCAGGTTGTTAGAAAGGGTAATATTAAGAGTTTGATTTATATCCACTTACCAAACCAATACTGTAGAACAGGATGTTTTACTGAATTTAGGATCTGGTAGTATATAAAGACTCCCTTGCACACAATTATTTTGATTTTTGGTGTAACAGATCCAATTGCAAATACTCTCATAGCTTTTTGAAACTCTTCTAAGAACATGATCAGTAACATTTGTTAGATGTGAAGATAAACTGGCATTTGTTATGAAGAGCTGAGGGTCCTGCTCTTACATGGGGGGTTTGTAGTTCTAAAGTATTTGAGCCTCCCTAATCAAAAGGGATGATGCTGCAAAGACTCTGGTAATTAGTTTCTATGTTTAAAAAAAAAAAAAAAAAAAAAAAAAAAAAAAAAAAAAAACCCAAAAAAAAACAAAATTAGACACTCATACTGATCAAAGAATCTTAGCAGTTTCAATACCAAGAACATGAATGTTTATCTTGATCAATTTGTGAGGGATTTCCTAAATTCCCTGGAAACCCAATTTGAAAGCATGACTGCAGGCACAGTTTAGAACCACAAATTAGATCATGTACATAGACTTCAGTACTTACAGAGCCACTATCCTTAGAACATCTGGGTGCTTCATGATCCTTAATGTACTTAAATGAGTCACTAAATTATTAAGATCACAATTCAAATTATTAGCACTTTGTATAGAAAAATGCAGAAAGCTGATGCAAACATTCCATTATTCTACTGTTCTTTGCAGGTCCTAAAATGGTAGAATTCCACGGTCAGCAATTTCAGATCAACTCAAAGAACGGCAAGCCACTTTTCACAGTGGATGAAAATGAGGTTGTAATTGGCACAGATAAACTTCGAGTCACAGGTTTGTAACAGTTTAAGAAATGCTTAAATAACAGCCACAGAAAAACACAATAAAAATGGCTTTTTTAAATATGTAATTGCGTTTGAACACCAGTTCTGGTTTTACCTCATTAGGAAATGGGAATCTGAAGATATCCTGACCTTTTTCAGTAAATAATCAGTAAAAACTGTTAACAGCAAAATCATAATATGCATTTATAAATAGCTATTTATGTCTGTATGTACGTATTTTATTTTAAAGCCATTAGTGATTGGAACTGTACTGGTACATTTTTTTCTGAATTATTTAATGTTTCTAGTGCACAATGTTAACTGAGGCTGAAAAAATTCTTGATATTCCAGTCTGAGTTGTATTGAGTTTTATCTGTAGAAACTTTTTAAACTCTCTCTGATATTTTCATATGGTTTTATCTTTCAAAGTGAAAGCCACTGTATTTCTGCTCTGTGTGTAGCACATATGTCACAGGATGGTATTTGAAGTATATTTAAAATGTCATATGTCAGAAGACAACTTTATCGTAGGCTATTTCTGCGAATCACGGAAGTACTCATTTACAAAGTAAGATGTCATAGTTAGCACAAGAAAAGCTGTTTCCTTTCATATGACCTGATAAAGTCAACCTTCATTTTCCAGGTGTAAGGTTGCATTAAAACAAGTACATCAAGGTGTGATTTCTCTTTGAGCAGAAGAGTCTATCAAAGCAAATACTGTCATTATCCTGTAACTTGTTTTCAATTAAATTTTTAATATTTTCAACCCAATTGCAACTATCATGTTTAACTTTTGCTAATTACAGTCCTCTAAAATCTTGAGGTCTTAATTTTAATGGCTATGTTCATATTATTTCACTGTGCAAAGCTACAACTGTGGTAGTAACTATACAATTAGTGTTTCAAAGCCAAAGTTAAGTTATAATAAATGTGTTAATAAATTTTGTTTACGCCTGAGGGTCTTATCTTAAGTTTTTTACCTTTTAACCTAATTGAAATTGCAACTTTGTTTAACCAGGAAACCATATCAAATAATTATTGTTTGCCCAAGGGATGCTAAACTTTAATAGAAAAGCATGTTTAACAAAGATATGAAAAACTGCATAATTGTTAACTGATTTGGAAAAGGTCTATCTCTCCTCAAAGTAAGTAAAAATCATTCATACAAGAGTTGAAATTGTTATGCTAAAACATGTATTCTGACTCGTCCAATATTAATCTTTACCCTGAAAGGATAATTGTTTACTTTAGCAGATATTGTAGAAAGACACATTACCTGTTTCTTTTTTACACTGTAGTACAATTCAAAAGCAAATCCATTAAAGTCAGTGAGGTTATTTCAGTGTAAAATTAATATAAGTTAGAGGAGATTCATGCCTACTTTTCTTCAAATTAATTTATTAAAGTTGTGATTTAAATTATACTATTAGATTAGCATGAAGGATAAATTACTAATACTTTGCCTAGTGAGATAATTTTTTAAACATTTTAGAGAAGATTAATATAAAATAAATTTTGAAAAGTTCATACCATAAAAACCAGACTACCTCAGACTTAAAATACACAAAAAATATTTTGCAGTTTTTTATGTACAATATAGTAAACTATTTGATTTTACTTCTCCTTATTTGTGTGAATTATGAAACACTCACTAACAATTTGTAAGAAAATCTGACAGTTTTCAACTAAAATATAATGTAGCAGAGAGCAAATGTCTGTGATTTATGGTATTTCAGGAACAATGAGAAAGTCTAAGAACAAGCTAATCCAACCCAACACCTCAGGAACTGTCATTTTCCAAGAGTTTGGTATGTTTGACCTCATACTGTTTCAGTCAGACGACTTCTGTCCCATGTAGTAGAATAAAATAGCAGCAGACTCTGTTCTCCTAAGAAGAGCAAATGCCTGGAGAAAAACCATGGTCAGCAAGTGTCTCAGATACCCCACAGGGTCACAGACAGGTCTAGATACCCATGTCAAACAACCGAATTGAACTTCCAGTCAACAGAGTCAATGCAACCTAGAGCGTGAAGGAGACACCTAGACCTGGCATGGGAAGGGCTCTTCTGCTCACCAAACACAGTTGTCTGCTTAGGATGAGCTCAGTGGCTCACTCATCTCCCTTACATATAGTGGCCGAGATCAGATGCTAAAACGTAAGCATCCAGCAATGTCTGAAACACCTTAGGGTGTGTGTGATGCCACATGGTATTGCTTTATCTACAGAAGACACTTCCTTTGATTGTGGCAGTCAGAGGCCAGGCAGGATGTACAACTGTATTTTAGATGGCAGCAGGTACATATGATTAGGCAGCTAAATTCTGCCTCTAGCTCATCTGTGACACCTACATCATAGACACTTAAATTTAGGTGTATGAAATTGAAGCTCAGCTTAACCCTTCATGACAATTAATGCTACCTGAAGGAGCATGTACTCAAATTACATCCTCTTTGCAGACATATATTATGCAGCTACAGAGGTATCGAACATCAGCATTTTATTCTGGTAAGATTTTATACATTCAGTTGGCACTGTGACAGTGAAACCCACCTTGTAACCATTGTATTGGCTGGCAAAGAGGCAGTTGCTTTAGAACTCACAATATTGTTATGGCAGAAGGAGTGAAGTCACAGCACTGGCTGGAAACAGAATCCTCCTGCATAAATAGCTAGAGTCCATGGCTATGAGTACTGTTTTTCACTGCTTTGCCATCCCTACAAACTTGCCAGCTAGGAGACTGTCCATAGAAGGAAGAAAATAGGCTCAAGTAAATAAACTTTTATAAAATAGAAAAATAATTAGCAATCAGCAGATATAAAGTAATCTCAACTGCTGCATAAAAAAAACTTTTTTAAAAGCACAGATTATAATTTATATTTTATGACTGTTGTATTGGGTAATCTTTTAATGATGAGTAGGTAAGAAATTAATAGAATGCAGTTGCTTCCCCTCCACTTTTCTTGAAGAAAAGTTGGCAGGACAGAGGGGATCAGTATCTTTATGGAGAAGCTCTCTCTGTCTTGTTTTTGAGCCACAGTGGTGCTTAGACCAAGAGACATGCCATCCTGGACCAAGAGATAGGAAGAGATCCCTAAAACAATGATCCGCTTTATTCAAACAAGGCTTCAGCAACCATGATTGCACTCAGGTCTCACAAATCTTTCTTTGTGTAGATGTTCACTCCCCAGATCCAATCAGTTTTGCCAGGTTCCTCTTTCTAACATCTTTCTGTGCATATACAGGCATCTCTAATACAAGTCCAAACTTTGATAAAAAAGTGAAAGTTGGACTAGAAGATATATCTGATTTATCAGCTCACATCCCTTTCATAGACAGAAAAATAGGTCATTAAGGCCTTTGACACCGTTTCTTACAGCATTCTCCTGGCAAAAATGGCTGCTCGTGGCTCGGGTGGGCACACACTTTGCTGGGTAAAAAACTGTCTGGATAGCCGGGCCCAAAGAGTTGTGGTGAATGGAGTTAAATCCAGTTGGGGGCTGGTCACGAGTGGTGTCCCCCAGGGCTCGGTTTTGGGGCCACTCCTGTTCAACACCTTTATTGATGATCTAGACGAGGGGATCGAGTGCACCCTCAGTCAGTTTGCAGATGACACCCAGTTGGGTGGGAGTGTTGATCTGCTCGAGGGTAGGGAGGCTCTGCAGAGAGACCTGGACAGGCTGGAGCCATGGGCTGAGCCCAACTGGAGGAGTTTCCATAAGGCCAAATGCCGGGGGCTGCCCTTGGGCCACAACAACCCCAGCAGCACTACAGGCTTGGGGAGGAGTGGCTGGAGAGCTGCCAGTCAGAGAGGGACCTGGGGGGGTTGATTGACAGCTGGCTGAACAGGAGCCAGCAGTGTGCCCAGGGGGCCAAGAAGGCCAATGGCATCCTGGCTTGTGTCAGCAATAGCGTGGCCAGCAGGGACAGGGAAGGGATCTGACCCCTGTACTCGGCACTGGTGAGGCCGCCCCTCGATTCCTGTGTTCAGTTTTGGGCCCCTCACTACAAAAAGGACATTGAATGACTCGAGCGTGTCCAGAGAAGGGCAACGGAGCTGGTGCAGGGTCTGGAGCACAGGTCGTATGGGGAGCGGCTGAGGGAACTGGGGGGTTTAGTCTGGAGAAGAGGAGGCTGAGGGGAGACCTCATCGCCCTCTACAGCTCCCTGAAAGGAGGGTGCAGAGAGCTGGGGATGAGTCTCTCTAACCAAGTAATAAGTGATAGGACAAGAGGTAATGGCCTCAAGTTGTGCCAGGGAAGGTTTAGACTGGATATTAGGAAGCATTTTTTTCCAGAAGGGGTTGGGCGTTGGAATGGGCTGCCCAGGGAGGTGGTGGAGTCCCCATCCCTGGAGGTGTTTAAGAGTCGGGTCGACATAGCGCTGAGGGATCTGGTGTAGTTGGGAACTGTCAAATGTGAGGTTAATGGTTGGACTTGATGATCTTCAAGGTCTTTTCCAGCCTAGACGATTCATGTGAATTTCTTTTATAACCTTATCCAGCTACATCTCAAATGGCAAACACTGTTCATTTTTATATCACCAAATGTGGACTTCTGTGTAAAAGGTGCTGTGGTGATGGTATGGATTTCTAAAGATGACAGAGGAACTATATGCAAATCAGGCAGAGCACAGAGTAGAGCTTTACAGAGTCTGCCCACACTGGTGATGTCTAATGTGGAGACAAAACACACTAGTTGAGTTTTAGAGACACATCTTTTCCTTTTGAGGTAATTATTTATTATTTTAGCAGTAATAATAGACTGTGTTGATGTAGTCGAACTACTATTTTATCACCATGTTGCAGTATTTAAAAGGTGGCCACAAGGAAGATGGATACTCCCTTTTTACAAGGAGTCATATGGAAATGACGAGGGGTAATGGGTACAAGTTAATCATTGGGAGATTCTGACTGGACACAGGAAAAAAAATTCACAATGAGAACAATCAGCCACTGTAATAATCTCCTCAGAGAAGTGGTCGATTCCTCAACACTGGACACTTAAAATTCATCTCGACAGGGTGCTGGGCCATCTTGTCTGGACTGTGCTTTTGCCAAGAAAGGTTGGACCAGATGATCCTTGAGTCCCTTCTAACTTCGTACTCTATGATTCTGTGATACTAGGCTCCATTTACCTTTTATTGCTCTGACAGATAGATATGCTCTTTCATGATTCTGTAAGTAGCTATTAATGTTATTTTTGAAAATTATTAATGAAAGTGATAATTTCCTTCTCTAATCTTTCTAATAATTGAAACTATATGGTTTATGGCAGGTGAACTAAATAAAAAATGTTTTTACAGACATAGCAGGAAAATTTATAAAAATGCAAACATAAAGCTAGGTTTTTAATAGCAGTAAACCAGTATCATGCCATTAGGTTCCATGTGGCTTCCCCAGTATGCACTGGCCATTTCAATGTTTTCAATCTGAGGACTGTATCTACAGTAATGACACACTATAACATGAGGACAGTGAGGATGCTTTACAAATGTGCCACTCAAAATACTTCACTGGAATAGAGGCTTTTCAAGAAGGACAGACTGGAAAGGTGTGGGAGGAGTTTGCCTTTATGTGCGAAAATGCATTGTGCTCAGCCTTAGGATGGATGAGGAGCCAGCTGAGAGATTATAGATCAGGATTAGAGGGCAGATCAACATGGGCAACATTGTAGTGATTGTATACTGCAGATCACCTGATCGGGAAGAAGCCAATGAAGCCCTCTTCAGACAACTGGAAGCAGCCAAGAGAAAACTGATATGTCTTTCACTCCAGAACAGCAGTGTTATCAAATGCTCAGCTTTTCCTATAGATCTTAAACCAAGATGGAAATGAATCTTGTATCCAGCCAAGATCCTCACTATGTCACACTATTATTTGGGTATCAAGAAATCGGCACAAAGTCAAATTCTACCGTTGTGGCTATCACATGTAAGGATATGCAGCAGTGTAGCAAGGCATGAAATTTCAAACTACGCAGTTTCATATAACTGGCATTGTATAAAACTATGCAGCTCACCTAAGAATGGGAATTCACTTGTATCTTCATTGTACTTCATCTTGTGACACAGTACAACTAAACTGGTACTGAAAATTGCTGAAAAATTTTAACTGTCTAAGGAAAAAGGAATTTGAATCCAAACCATACTCAAGTGTAAGAGCACACCATAGAATGTATGATGGTATACAAGATGCATGGAAGAGTAAGAAGGAGGAAGGGGAAAATAAAGGCAATTTAAAAATGCCTTCCACAGTCATCAAGCCAAAATGTGCATCTGCAACAGCATTTTGTTTAGTCAGACTGCACTTTTACTGCAGATCTGATGGTTCTGACAGTTCTCATGTCCCACTGGTTTATACCATGGAGGAGTTAGGGAGTGAAAACAATGGATACCTTTTGGATGAAACCAAACTGAGAAATGGGCTCCAAGAATTCATTTACTTCATCAGAATTGCAAATGTGTTTTAAATCCACAGGATGAGACTAGAGTAGGTTCAAAGTAAAATCCCCTAGATCTGTATAGTATGAGCAGCAGATCTTTAGCACCAAGTCCATCACTCCATAAATCCACTCTTTTCAGGTCACATTACCTCCTAATGTAGACATATGTAAAGACTTCCCAGAAATACAGTTGGAAGACATTATGATCAGGCTATCTCCCCTGATAAATCAGGTCTTTGGAGATCATTCAAAGTTGCTGGCAAGTTTTTTGTTAACACGGGTAGTATTGTGACAGTATATATTTCAGTGAAATTACAACTCATTCACTGTAATCCAAAATGAAAATCTGAGTGAAGAAAACAGTGAAATGCTTGCTTTGCTCAGAATTGTCATGTAGGACACAGTGGAATAAAGGACAGTCAGGATTGTGGTACATTCTCAAAGGATCACAGTGTCAGAAGAAACACATTTGAAGCAGGCCCTGCTCAAATGAAAAACTTTAATTCATTGACACCTCTAGCTGGCAAGTAAACTAATTCAGAAGTTTTGACAGATCAGCGTATCCCTAAAAATACCTGAGTTTTACCAAATCAGCATTTTCTGACGGACCTATTTAATTCTTTCAGGTGTTTTTTTTTTCCATCATCACCAATGTGTAAGGTTGCCAACTTGTTACACCCACCAGCACAAATACAAGAACAGGAGAATAATTAACTATGTCTGGCTAGACAATAGGTTTTATCTTGCATAATAATCTTATTGCTAACAAAGAAGTGTTAAAGTCCTGTCTGAATTAATGAATTTTATATTTTCCAGTGGTATATTCATGCCAGCTAGCAGATTCCAGAAAGATTCATCTATTTAAATTGACAATGAGGATATCAGCAGCTAAATAAAATTTAAATAGGAACTTAGAAATCCATGCTTCCTTGAACTGCTGAAGTGATTCAGTATGGTAATTCTTATATTTTGTGCACTTCTCTTCAATCCAAGCTAAGCAGATTTCGTTCTAAGGAATTATGATTTCATCTAGAATGCTTCTCAAAAAGCAGCACGTTTCATGCTTTCTTAGGACACTGTGAGAACTTTCCCCCAGCCTTCAGTTGGCTCAGCAATGTATTCATTTTTAATTGGTTTCTCTTGATTTCACTTTTTTTCCTTTTACCAAGTTATCTGTGGTTGCTCCCACTATATTTATTGGGTTTTTTTCTGTTTATACCACATCTAATACCATATAATACCACATGTATACCATCTACACCATACTTTCTAATCATCCATTTCCCCTTGTCTTCCCTTCTTTCTGCCTGATTATACATATACTTTCACTTTTTCATCTCAATCTCATCAGGTTTTCCAGACATAAACCACAAAAAAACAGTTTTCTTTTGTTACACATATATTTGCATTTAATATGTATTACATGCACATGCTTGTGTGCATATTCACCAGCCTGCAGCTCAAGAGGGCTCTTAAGAGTTTGTTTCTCTAGATGGAGTCCAAACCCCTTATTTAGGGCTTTCTACAGCCCAGAATTCTTTCCTGAGAGTAACTGCTTTCTGTTTTAATTCAAAGAGCAGCCAGGAAAGCCATGTTGAGTATTAATATATATCCTTGGTACATATTCACCTGAAAAGTGTTTATATATGTGTATCCTCTAAGCTGGAGAAGATCACTCATCCTAAGCCCTCCCCAGTTTTGGATGAGTGCTTTCACAAAGCAGAAGGCAAGAGACCACCCTTGCTGCAGCTGGTGGTGTTTAGTTGCTTTTTTGAGCCATCTCTGTTGTTGAGGGGCTTTTGTACTAATTCAGCTAGTTCACTGATCCCAGTGAATCTCAGGCAGCAGAAGGTTGCTGAGTTGGTGATGGACTAGTCCTCAGGAGAGCAGAAATGAAGGTGCTTGGAAAACTTTCAGGTCCAATAAGGAGGCTCCTCGTGAGGTTGGGTGCCCGCTGTTTCTTCCTCGTTGGGATGAAACTACTCTTATTACAAGAGGTAAACTATCTGATCCCATAGTCATTACCATTTTATGTGCATAAATACCATTTTATGCTCAGCAAGTCTGCCTAAAAATAGGGAAAATCTTTGATAAAGCTACATGGCAGAATTTGTGCTATGTATAGAGTAGTCTAAAATAAATTATTATTTAGGTCTGTAATATTTGCAAAGGTTTTATGGGACTTTTAATTATCTCTATTAACTCTAAGGGAAATTACATAGTAAAAATCTTATTTCCTTATTTTGTTGTCCCAAGTAGTTTAAAATTTCTCTGTCTTCAGACTTCTTAGATTTCATTTTAGGAATTTACACCTATACTTTACATTACTTGTGGTGTGCACTGTCTCGTTCCAATCAACACTGCAAGACTGTAGCTTTATTTTAATTCTTGTTAATATATGTTTTCTTATCTTAATTTCTGATATCAAAGTGGCCATATAAATCACTGTCACCATTTTTTTTTACATTTGAACTTTACAATATAGTGGGTTTCTTTGTTTTTTGCAGGGCCTGAAGGAGCACTTTTTGAACACTCTGTAGAAACACCACTTGTGAAGGCAGAAGCTTTTAAACAACTAAGGTATGAATTTATATATGTAGATATTGTTTGCTATAGATATTCACCTTTTTCTGAACACAAGATTTTCAACAGCATTTGCAGAACTGCTAATAACTTTTCTGTTTTACATGAAAAAATATTGTTTTAAAGGAAAGTTACACATACAATTTTGAAATACATTATGAATTATTTATTGCTGATGGTGAATAATTAAAGCCATATACTGTGGAAAGTTTTTCTGTAAACTTCTATTTTTCAGTTTTGAAACACATAAGTATGACTTTTTCTTCTATGTTACAATAGAACTTGTTTGTCTGCAGCAGGTCATCAACCTATAATTAGTCAAGATTTTTAGAAACTAGCATCAATCTGAGGAAACAGACTAATAAGAAAAATTTGGAAATGTGCAAAGCTTTGCATGACTAGAGATCAGTTTGGGGTCATAAAGTACTTTGCATGTTTCAGAGTTCCTTAATTCCGGGATAGCACTTTGTGCATTGTTCTATGTCATTTTAAGTATCCCAGATTAGTTTATCATATATTGGTTATGATGAGATAGTAAACTCAAATTACAATCTCTTCATGAACATGTTTCATTTGTAAGCCAGTACAAAGAAAGATTTTAAATTACACAGGATCTCTTTAACAATTACACTTCCATCCTTTTATACCTTGGCAGTTTGCTACTTTCTGTCATAATTTCTGTTCTTAGTGTTTCTTCTCCAGTAGGTCTAACTATTAGAGAGTAGTTGAAGATGATTAAAGCTTTCAGGAACACTGTCTGCATCTTGGTGACTGAATTTTCAAATTGAGAATGGCAAATGAGAGGGAGACTATTAAGACACTTCATTTTCTCCTTGATAATATTTAAGATTTACTTACAGTAAAATGCCTTGTGTTTGTATTTGAAGACAGAATGACCTCAAGACATTAGATCTTACATGTTGATGTCCACTTTCAAAAATATGTTTCTTCTACTGTAGTACAATTTGGATGTGACAGATTTTGACCAATATGTAGGATTCTGCGTGGTAGTGAACATTGTCTGGTTTTGTAGGGTATGGATTCATTATGTTGTAAATTTGTCCGTTCCTTTGATTATCTCAATTTTGATAAATTAGGACATTTAATTTTCTAATTACAAAGCCAAGAAGCTCTGCAGATTTTAATTGGATACATAAAAATTATTTTTTTGTGGTTGTACTTTGCTTCAAAAGCATCATCAATTAATAATATTTTAATAGACTTAAAGCTCATAGTGTTTTCCTACATCCATTACGCTATGTTGCATTTTAAATTCTTATCTGCACATCATTTAAAAACAATTACACTGTTTCAGATTACATACAGCTATTGTTATTATGAATTTTTCACCTGTTTTTGTAAATAGGGTATCATTTGAAGGAAAACACTGAGATTCATTCAAAGTGTTCGTAAAGTTCTCCTGCATGGATGAGTTTGCCTCATGGCTTATCTCTAGAGATTTTTACTATGTCAACTATAAACACGTTTTGGTCTATGTTGCTGTGTATTAGCAGAGCTCAAGTTTAATAGTTAAAATCCCATTCAGTTGTCTTCAATTAACTTAAAATAGTGGGAATTAGAGATTCTTCCACACTTTACAAGAAAAACAAGAAGTTTGCTAATAATTAATTATAATGTCAATGAAGTACCTGCCTAGCTGTATCAACACTGACACTCGTGACTAACATTAGTATTTGACATAAATCCAGAGCTGTTAAACACCTGTGCTAGAAACTGAGTTAGCTTAACCCTAAGAAAAACACTGAATATCAGGTCATGAAGCTGAGCAATGTATATACCACACACCAGCCCTTCCCCACAGCAGTTCAAAATGTCTCATTCTTTTAATACTTTTTTTTGGTTTTTACCACCCATAATCAGTGTTAAGTCTGAAAGCAGAGATGGCAATGATTACATGGAGGGCTTCTGGGGAGGATCAAGAAGCAAATGCATTTGTGCACAGTGCAGATGCTAAGTTAAGATGTTAGGCAGATAAGACCAATTTACAAAGCTCGTGCTGGAAAAGGGTTACTTTCAAGGGTGATCTTAAACATCAGTGTACACAAAATTCATGCATTATATTGTGAAGGAGCTCAGACAAGTTTAACAAGGAATGGCTATTTAGTAATGCTTTATAAATATTCTCTTTCATTCTACACTGTTAAATACAGGAAACTACTTACTGAAAAGCACTTCAATATGAAAATTTTAAATGCAGTTTTAAGTATTACTTTTCTATTTTCAATCTGAATATGCTTCCTTTCCAGACTAAGGTTGTGAGTACCAAGTTCTAGGTAATATAACCTATTTGCTTACCTCAAGACTTACCTCCACACTTTCACCATCTATTAATCTTCTGCTATTTTTCCTCAGTGGTTGTGCTGTGCCATGTGAATGCAATATGCTGGATGGATGTGATAGAAAGTGCCATGGTGTGCAGCATTAAATATAGGGAATACTGCTTCAAGAAAATCCATCCACTTCAAATGTAGTTGCATATTTCAAGGAGCTGACTAGAAAGCTGCTAATGCTCGTAACTTTCAGCTTGTGTCATATGAACTGAGGCGACATTCAGTGTCTGTCATTCAGATTTAGGGCAGGATCTCAAACAAAGCTGACACAAATGGCCTTCTGAATTACACATTCTGCTGGCTTTCCTGCTGAATTTCAAGATAGACTGCTTTTCTGGAAACAAAGAGATAAGTGTGTTAGAACATATCTTTTTATAGCTAAGTAATGGAGACAGAGCAATGCAATTATACTGTGGTCAGTAACTGTCTTTTCATTCTGTAATTTGAAGGAAACATATAGAGTCCTTTTCAGTCTAATAGATTGAATTCATGACTCACCCATAAAGAAGAGATGCGCTTGCACTTACTTCCAACTGGTAGGAAGAATTATAACAACAAAAACTACATTTCAGAATTGAAGCTTTCCTAGGTTTAAAATAACATTGCCTACTTTTTCATTCCTTTCCTGGCATTCTTATATCAAAATAAGATACCTAGTTTCCATTTACAAAATCTGTTAAAATTTTAATACCTAGTGGGGACCTAAAAATAGGTCTCACATGTAGTGTCTGACAAACATCTTAGTGGGAAGTTTTGGATATATCCACAAAATATCGTCCCCAGACAAACATGACTGAGGAGGTAACTGGTTAAAATCAGCCAGTTGTATTTAGTGAGAACAGAAGTATGTCTGGACTCCTACTTCTCTCTGCAGTTCAGCTGCCTGATATAGTCAAGTGCTTACACAGTTTCCAGGTGTATGGATGCTCCTTTGACAGCAAGTGCCTATCTACTGGGTCACATCTCTCCGTGGGCTGAACCTGTTCTTCTGTATGGTCATGGGACCACAGGAGAGCAAGCAAGAAGCAGCACCTGATCACTGGGTTATCTCCTTTGTATTTGCTATGTTTCTTGCTGTATGGACAAGAGGGAATGGCCTCAAGTTGTGTCAGGGAAGGTTTAGACTGGATATAAGGAAGCATTTCTTTACAGAACGGGTTGTTAGGCTTTGGAATGGGCTGCCCAGGTGTTCTGCTGATTAAGGATACCAATTAAACTCAGGCACCAGAGTGAAAAGAGCAGGCGTATTTTACTAGTGATAACAGTGTAATACAGAAAACATGCAGTAAGAAAAAAGCAGAACAGTGTACTTAAAGCAGCAAACAGGAAAAAACAGGGTAATGCATTAAATCATTACTACACGAGAGAGAGAATGGAGATTAAGAAAAATACATCACCACTTGCATATATAATCATCACCCATCCCCGCAGTGGCTGGGGAACCCCGGTTACAGCGAGGGTTTGGGGAGCCTGTCCCGGCAAGGGGGAAATCCTACGCGGTGCATCCACCCATAGGTGAGGCATCCAAAGTCGCTGCAAACGGGCCCAGCCTTATATACCAGAGATCAACAGGCCAGAATAGCCGGCACCTTTGTTTTGAGCAGAAAATTTCTGGTTTTGTTCTCCTGTTGGATTCCACCCAAAGCTTGGCCAGGGCTCGGGGGGGGAAACCAAGGCAGTTTCTAACAAGGCCAAATACTTGGGTTCTCAGCCTTGAACAAGGCTGAACAAGGGAAGTTGGATACATTCTCTCCTCACTCCTGATTATATTTTGTCTAAGCTGCATCCTTCACTAGCGAGCTTACATACTTTGTTAATGATTATAGACTAAGTCAGCAGCTTCGGCTTGGAGCCTGTTGTTCAGGCTTCGGTACTTCAATGCTTTAGCACTTTTTACATCAGCATAAGTGCGTTGTTATAATTTAGTACAATACCTACTAGCGCAATGGTTATCGGTTATAAAATGTACAGGATTCATCTATAGGTCAACTCTGGCTTAGGCCAATTGTCCAAGCCTTAGCATTTCACCAGGGAGGTGGTGGACTCCCCATCCCTGGAGGTGTTTAAGAGTCGGATCAGCATAGCGTGAGGGATCTGGTGTAGTTGGGAACTGTCAGTGTTAGGTCAATGGTCAGACTGGGTGATCTCCAAGGTCTTTTCCAACCCAGATGATTCTGTGATTCTGTGCATTACTTGGTTGTGCAAAGACTGACGTTCAACATAGGGATTGATGTAGTCCAGGCCTTTAGTCCTGCCAGTTTTTTGTAGTCTGGTAAACAGAAGTAATGGATACAGGTTTCATTCCCCTCAAGACGAGGGAATCGAATCGAACCGATGCTTCATAATTCCTTGCTGAATAGAAAAATTGATAGGATTGTATTATATGTTATATACCATTATAGATAGTATAATATTATCTATTACATATTTTATATATTATTTAGAATATTATAAAAATATTCGAAGTTTTACCTCTTCCATGGTTCTCCATGAAAGTGGCCACAGCCCTTGTACTTTGGTGTGTATTTGACATGTTGAGAACTTGCCTCAATCAGGTTTCCTGGGGCTGGAATTTAGCTGCCACCTCTAACTGGATGTGGTGGTTTGAACAGCAAAGTTTTAATGGAAAACAGGTACCTTGATTTC